GGCATCACTGTGAAGCTACGTATTACTGAAATGCTGACTATGATAGTAGTTCGCCCTGAAAGAACAAACATACAGTTAGTAGCAACCGATTAAAGGACCACTATAGGCACCCAGACCACTTCAGCTCAATGAAGTGGTCTGGGTGCCAGGTCCATCTAGGGTTGACCCTGCAGCTGAAAACATAGCAGCCTAGATCCAGCCTCTAGTGGCTGTCTCATTGAAGTCCTTTAAATCACCCGTGGCAGGCCCGCCATGGCGACTTCAATGAGTAAGAGTATGAGTATGAGGTAGGGCCGGCTCAACTTGGCCGGCTCAAAGATGACCTGTTTTGTATAATAATGATGTCACAATGTGTCTGATAGGTGTGGCGTCACAGTTATCTATTTCCTAATTCATCTATTAGTGTAAAACTTTCAGACGGAAAGTCGGATAGCATGACAGAAAGTCAATATCCCGTTGGATATCTGAACGTACAAGTGCACTTGCTCAATATTGAATTGTGGTATGATTGTGAGGGTCAGCGTCCTGTTGACGGCATGGTTCGAAAACTTATTTCTAGTCTTTCATTTATTTACAACTTAGAGGACACGAGGGCTGAGAACGTTGCATGGAGGTTGTTGTTGTTCGAGCAACTCATGCCTACCCCAGCATCAGCATTGACCGTATTGGTACGTATGAGCCTGAACAGTTCCGCTTTCCCTGCCACTGCTGGAAAAGGAACGTTGCGTCTGTGTAGCTCCACCTGAATACGAGGAATGGTCCATGACCTGATGGAACCCCAAAGTTGTCACCTTTTCGTGTAGGTGTAGTGGACCAGACTGGAGTACTAGGGGTTGACATGTCATAACCTTTTTAATAGTAATAGTACGCCCTCCATTTTTTTCAGGGTGAGGAAAAAGAAAGTGAGGGAATGCAAAAGCAGCAGACCAGAGAACCGCAGGTCTAGCCAGCTGTTTAAGACTATACCCCAATGAAAATTACACAATTAGATGCGTGCAAGCTGTGCCTTGTGGCACATGTACTAAACAGTGAATTACGAAACAATGTTGGCCCAATGAGTACCTGAATACCCAGAGGGCAGACAACATTAAAGTGTAGGGTGACTAACACAAATGCATATGATACTGTTTGATTAGCGAGAGCAGGTGATTAGTAACAACAGACCCATGTCCAACTACAATACCTATAGGACCTGAGTTCAACGTATCAATTGGATATGCATAACGTGAATATAACAGCTGAAACCGTGAGTAACAGGAATATGCCATTCCTAGTACAGATCAGCTGTATATATTAGTATTGATTAGCTCTATATAGCTGTATATATAGAGTAGCTGTATATATTAGTAATGATTAGCTGTATATATAGAGTAGCTGTATATATTAGTAATGATTAGCTCTATATAGCTGTATATATAGAGTAGCTTTATGTATTAGTAATGATTAACTCTATATAGCTGTATTTATAGAGTAGCTGTATATATTAGTAGTGAGTAGCTGTATATATTGGTAATGATTAGCTGTATATATAGAGTAGCTGTATATATTAGTAATGATTAGCTGTATATATAGAGTAGCTGTATATATTAGTAATGCTCTATATAGCTGTATATATAGAGTAGCTGTATATATTAGTAATGATTAGCTCTATATAGCTGTATATAGCTCTATATAGCTGTATATATTGGTAGTGATTAGCTGTATATATAGAGTAGCTGTATATATTAGTAGTGAGTAGCTGTATATATAGAGTAGCTGTATATATTAGTAGTGAGTAGCTGTATATATAGAGTAACTGTATATATTAGTAGTGATTAGCTGTATATATAGAGTAGCTGTATATATTAGTAATGATTAGCTCTAGGTAGCTGTATATATAGAGTAGCTGTATATATTAGTAATAATTAGCTGTATATATAGATTAGCTGTATATATAGAGTAGCTGTATATATTAATAATGATTAGCTGTATATATATAGATTAGCTGTATATATAGAGTAGCTGTATATATTAGTAATGATTAGCTGTTTATATAGAGTAGCTGTATATATTAATAATGATTAGCTGTATATATAGATTAGCTGTATATATAGAGTAGCTGTATATATTAGAATTGATTAGCTGTTTATATAGAGTAGCTGTATATATTAGTAATGATTAGCTGTAAATATAGAATAGCTGTATATATTAGTAATGATGAGCTGTATATATGGAGTAGCTGTATATATTAGTAGTGATTAGCTGTATATATAGATTAGCTGTATATATTAGTAATGATTAGCTGTATATATAGATTAGCTGTATATATAGAGAGTAGCTGTATATATTAGTAATGATTAGCTGTTTATATAGAGTAGCTGTATATATTAGTAATGCTGAGCTGTATATATAGAGTAGCTGTATATATTAGTAATGATTAGCTGTATATATAGATTAGCTGTATATATAGAGTAGCTGTATATATTAGTAATGATTAGCTGTTTATATAGAGTAGCTGTATATATTAGTAATGATTAGCAATATATATAGATTAGCTGTATATATAGAGTAGCTGTATATATTAGTAATGATTATCTGTTTATATAGAGTAGCTGTATATATTAGTAATGATTAGCTGTATATATAGATTAGTTGTATATATAGAGTAGCTGTATATATCAGTAATGATTAGCTGTTTATTTAAAGTAGCTGTATATATTAGTAATGATGAGCTGTATATATATATTAGCTGTATATATAGAGTAGCTGTATATATTGGTAATGATGAGCTGTATATATAGATTAGCTGTATATATAGATTAGCTGTATATATTAGTAATGATGAGCTGTATATATAGATTAGCTGTATATATAGAGTAGCTGTATATATTGGTAATGATGAGCTGTATATATAGAGTAGCTGTATATATTAGCAATGATGAGTTGTATATATAGATTAGCTGTATATATAGAGTAGTTGTATATATTAGAAATGATTAGCTGTATATATAGATTAGCTGTATAGAGTAGCTGTTTATATTAGTAATGATGAGCTGTATGTATAGAGTAGCTGTATATATTGGTAATGATGAGCTGTATATATAGAGTAGCTGTATATATTAGTAATGATGAGCTGTATATATAGAGTAGCTGTATATATAGAGTAGCTGTTTATATTGGTAATGATGAGCTGTATTTATATAGAGTAGCTGTATATATTGGTAATTCTGACCTGTATATATAGATTAGCTCTATATATAGAGTAGCTGTATATATTAGTAATGATTAGCTGTATATATAGATTAGCTGTATATATTAGTAATGATGAGCTGTATATATACAGTAGCTGTATATATTAGTAATGATGAGCTGTATATATAGAGTAGCTGCATATATTAGTAATGATGAGCTGTATATATAGAGTAGCTGTATAGAGTAACTGTATATATTAGTAATGATGAGCTGTATGTATAGAGCAGCTTTTTATATTGGTAATGATGAGTTGTATTTAAAGATTAGCTGTATAGAGTAGCTGTATATATTAGTAATGATTAGCTGTATATATAGAGTAGCTGTATAGAGTAGCTGTATATATTAGTAATGATGAGCTGTATATATAGATTAGCTGTATATATAGAGTAGCTGTTTATATTGGTAATGATGAGCTGTATATATAGAGTAGCTGTTTATATTGGTAATGATTAGCTCTCTCTCTCTCTCTCTCTATATATAGATATTAACCCCTTAAGACGGGAGGGCGTACTATTACGCCCTATTTTAGGCAGCTCTAAACGCCGCAGGGTCCCTCCATTTTTTTCTTACTTTCCCAGTCGCCGGCGATCCCACGCCAGCGATCGCGGTTGGGTGGACTCCCAGGGAGCCCCCCGCGGCACATCCGTCCTCCTGCAGCCCTACATAATTAGGTATCTTAATTAATTACAATTAGCGGGACCTGCCTGACAACCCATGCCGAAAGTAAAGGGAATTTAATTTGCTAGCACTATATTTAACCCTATAACTTTCCAAGACACCATAAAACCTGTACATGGGGGGTACTGTTCTACTCGGGAGACTTCGTTGAACACAAATATTAGTATTTCAAAACAGTAAAATGTATTACAACGATGATATCGCCAGTAAAAGTGACTTTTTTGCATTTTTCACACACAAACATCACTTACACGGACGATATTATTGTGCGATACTTTTTACTGTTTTGAAACACAAATATTTGTGTTCAGCGAAGTCTCCCAAGTACAATAGTACCCCTCATGTACAGGTTTTATGGTGTTTTCAAAAGTTACAGCGTCAAATATAAGGCTTGTGTTTTTTCACATTAAAATTCGCCAGATTGGTTACGTTGCCTTTGAGACCCTATGGTAGCCCAAGAATGAAAATTACCCTTATGATGGCATACCATTTGCAATAGTAGACAACCCAAGGTATTGCAAACGGGGTATGTCCAGTCTTTTTTAGTAGCCACTTAGTCACAAACACTGGCCAAAATTGGCGTTTTTTGCATTTTTCACACACAAACAAATAATAACGCTAACTTTGGCCAGTGTTTGTGACCAAATGGCTACTAAAAAAGACTGGACATACCCCATTTGCAATACTTGGGTTGTCTACTATTGCAAATGGTATGCCATTATGGGTATAAATTTCATTCCTGGGCTACTATACAGTCTCAAAGGCAACGTAACCAATCTGGCGAATTTCAATTTCAAATGTAACGTGCTATATTTGACCCTGTAACTTCCCAAAACGCCATAAAACCTGTACATAGGGAGTACTGTCTTACACGTGAGACTTTGCTGAATACAAATATGTGTATTTTATTGCAGTAAAAGCAAACAGTATTATGACATTGACAGTTAAAATGTCATGTAGAACTAAAAAAAAAAAAAAATCTTATTTTCTCCCATTTTTTTATATTAAATTATGTTTCATAGCTAAATATTTGATATTAAATGAAAGCCCTGTTTCCCCTGAATAAAATGATATATAATAAGGGTGGGTGCATTTACTATGAAAGAGGTGTATTACGGTTGGACAGACATGTAGCGCAAATGCCAGGTTTTGTTTACATTTTGTTTCGTTCACAATGTGTACATTTGGCTCCGTCCTTAAATGGTTAAACACACCAGTCCAGCTGCTGATTGGAAACATCTGTCTGTGTGATTGACATGGAATGTTGGTATAAATCCATGCCCATATGGGGCGTGGCCAGAGAGCGTGTCGTTCCTTTTCGTCAGCCAATCATATTGGGCGGGGCGGACCCTAGGTTTTGCCTGACAATGTAGACACGCCCTCCGTTTTGTGGACCCGCCCACTAACGGTCGCCCTGCGGTTGCTAGGGGGCGCTGTGGAGGTCTGGCTGCAGTGAGGCGGAGAGGCGCGAGTTGGGCTCACTCTGAGCACTTTAACGGTCACCGCTCTGCCCTCACCGGACCGGAACCACGTCCTCCCCATTAACGGAGCGGGCTCTCCACCCTCCACAGCCGGGCTGCAGGAAGCTCACACAGCCCGGTTCGGGGAGCGCTGTGAGCAGGAGGGGTGAATTCCTGGAGTCCTGCTCCTGTTATCTGCCCCAGAGGGAAACTTTCCGCCGTCTGTGGGCGACCTGAGCTGAGCTCACTGCACTTCGGGAGCCTGTGAGTGTGCACTCACCTCAGAGAGAGGGAGAGAGAGAGAGAGAGAGAGAGGGGGGGCACAGAGAGAGAGAGTAAGGGCACACTCACCTCACACACTCAGAGAGAGAGGCACACTCACCTCACACACTCAGAGAGAGAGGCACACTCACCTCACACACAGAGAGAGGGGGGGCACACTCACAGAGAGAGAGGGGCACACTCACCTCACACTCACAGAGATAGGGGGGGCACACTAACCTCACAGAGAGAGGGGCACACTCACCTCACACACACACACACACACACACACACAGAGGGGCACACTCACCTCACACTGAGAGAGGGGGGTCACACTCACCTCACACACACACACACAGAGGGGCACACTCACCTCACACACACACACACAGAGGGGCACACTCACTTCACACTGAGAGAGGGGGGTCACACTCACCTCACACACACACACAGAGAGAGAGAGAGAGGGGGGGCACACTCACCTCACACTGACAGAGAAAGAGAGGGGGGGGCACATTCACCTCACACACACAGAGAGAGGGAGACACACTTACCTGCATCCACACTAGCAGTGCCATAGTTTGTGGGTACCTGTGTTACTGGGGCTCTGCCTGTGTGGGTTGTGTTTAGGATTACCTCCCATTGGATCTCATTGTGTTTCAGCCTGTCTGGATAGTGAAGGAAGTCATGTCTTGTCACTGTGCCTGGTGACATTTGGGGACAATACCTCAATGCTTATACACACCTTGTGGTGTGAACCCTGGACCTTCTCCATAGCTCCCCTAACTCCTGGACCGGTCCCTGACCCCTAGCATTTTGAAACTGTCTTTGCTGCACCCCCTCCCTGTGGAACATGAAGCTGAGCCGTCAGATCACAGTACTCGGCAGTGCTATATTCTGTGTGGTGATCTTCTCCCTCTATCTGATGCTGGACAGGGGGCAGTTCGACCAGCCCCAAATCTCCCATCGAGATGGAGCCTTCCCCAAGGTGAGCTGAGCCTGCCATGATTTCCTACCTTCACACTAGCTGCATTGTATCCCTCCATTCATACTATGTACCATAACCTGGAGCTCCATCTCTGCAGCCTTTAACAAACATGCTGGGTGAACTTTGTTCTCTTAATGTTGGTTCATGAGCCCCCGGGAACAGATCATTATGCAACTTTGCATTTGCTTTTTTTTCATTGCCACGAGTTGTGCTGATTGCTATTTTTCTTTTCTGCTACACCCCTTGGTCTGGATTATATGCTAATATCATATGATGTTTTACTTGTCTATAAACCTCTGCTTATACTGTTTGTCTACTTTTTTGTATATTTATGTGACTCTTTCACTTCTTCCTGCCTAGTACCAAGAGTATTCTAAATATGTTTATTTAAAACCTGTATATGAGCACTGTATAAGAGGCTGGCAAAATACACAATTCATGGGTACGATTACATAACCTATTAAATTACACGAACAAGTAGCAGGGGGAGGGCTTTGTTGTTGGTCGAAATCTTAAAAAAATAATATATATATGCCTTACCAGCCTTTAATTGCTCTTTTAGTATTCTCCCCATTAATCATACTCTTTATATAGCCTTTTAGTCATCTGTTATTTTTTTTATTTTTTTTGTCATTCAAGTAGTTTCAAAGTTCAGACATATTCAGAAAAACCCATACAGTGTAGATATTTAAATCTAACCGTATTTCCCCTTATCGTAGGAAATAATCCAGCTGTTTAGCTTCTGGAATCCTCTTTTCTTGAATTTGTATTATAATTATTTTGTAATAAGCTGTAATGCACCAACATATTGCACAGTGTTTGGTGCCATCTTTTGTGTTGTATTCAATTCTGTGCTGAGTGTACGAAGGATCCTCAGAATGCGCAGGACTGTTGTGAAAAGTATGCTGACGATGAACTTTTTATTAGTTTTGACTTCCACTGAAGCAGAACTGTAGTTTATGTGAATGTATGGGCACTATGGGGCTTTTATAGTGCAAGTGACAGCTCCTGTCTAACCCAGAATTAAGCATTTCAGATAGTTTCTCTAGCAGCGTAGAAATGTCCCTTGGTACTAAGCTGTCAAACGCTTTTTGGCCTACTATGGGTAAATGGTTTTTACAGTTGTGACAACAGCTACAATTAGAAAATACATTTCTTGGGCTTTGTTATATTGTTTTTTTTTCATACATACAGATATGTATCTACTAATTTAAGTAATTTTATTTTACTTATAAGGATAATTCTCTATGCTTCTTCATTCACATTGGCTGTCTTTTCAGAGGTGACCAAAAATGTGACCCTCTGCAGTTGAAAAGTTTTATAGTCTTAAAATGATTAATTACTTAAAAACCCTGAAGTTTCAGGGAGAAGTGTCACCAAATGTTTTCACTATTTCTGTCTGCTGTACAGTATTACGATTGTATCTCTACTATGCAAAAACGACTTGTTTTAATAAAGTGTTTTTTGTCTAAAATGTCGTTTTTTCTCCTTCGTTTTGCAAATGGTTTTTGGTGCTCCTTTAAGATGCAGGAAGCAGCCATGGTAGTTTACAAGTGGATGTTGTCACATTGTAAAATGACACGTAAATTATATGGTAATTGCCGATACTTAAATATTAATTTATACAAGTCTTTTAAATCCCATTTTATTACAGAACAATTGTATTTGTTATTTCATTTTGTATACCTGCATTAGGGACCAATGACTTTTAGCAGACTGTAATTCCTGTGATACTTTGCCAACAATGACAACAACAGAATGGCAAAGATTCAAGGGGATGGTAGACTAACTGCTGGGTGTTCGGTATTGGGTTTACTCTTGTATTACTTTTTACCCATCAGCTTTATTTTGGCATTTTTATATAATCCAAAACCTATTGTGCAAATATAAAGCAAAATAAATGTAAACAAGTGTTTAAAGTTTTGCTTTGTTGGTTCCACGCATCTTTTTATCTTTTGGCTCCGCTCGCAAAATTCTCTGCACTGTTTCAACAAATGGGGGTTTCACATCTACAATTTTTTTTATATTTTTAAATTTATTTGCAAAGCCATATCCTAGAAAAGATTTTTGAATTCTGTACGACATCCATTTTAATAGTCCTCCCTTTTTTTTTTTTTTTTTGGTTGAAGTTTTCAGTGTTGGTGTGCGTAGCTTTGTTCGAGTACTCGGTTCGCTTTTGCTTTGTTGTCTTGCTAAATACTGAGTTTATTTACCAGATATCAAATTATGCTTAACTGAAAAAATATTTAGGAAAAAAAAGTGACTCTAGCTAATTTTGGCTATTTTTGCCTAAAGTGTATATTTAACTGCAGTCTGGTGTTTAGTGAATAAACTCTGCTTTTTAGTTTTGGTTTTTACCATTTTTATTGCATGATAGATGTAACATGACATTGGTGCATTCAAATTATCCTTTTATCTCCTTTCTACTGAACTCATTTGTCATCTTATCTATTATCAGTACCCATGTATGAAAAGAATGTGAAACTACATCAAAGTCAAATGTATAATACAAAATTAAAATCAACAAACCATCATATACCTGTATTTTATTGTAAAGCTCTTTCTAGATGCATGTAGATTGTTCTCCAAATGACAGAACATAAGGAGATTCATTCATGTATTTTTATAAAGAGACAGTAAACCTCTTTAATTTTTAATGTTAAAGTAACAGAGATCATAAACTGGTGTTTCTTCCCTACTTTTTTTTTTTTTACACTTTCTAAGTAGAATTACCTTGCTCTGCATGGAGACTCACTTGGTTCTTCAGAATTACTCCTCTTATTGTCTGATGTCAGTAGGGGCAATAAGGGGTGAGATATGCCCTTGCAATGTTCCATGTGGCATGAAAGCCTGCCAGTCAGCTGGATGCAGATGCCTGCAAAAATGACATGGCAGAGTCTATACTATCACCTCAGAATAATGCTGGTGAAACCTTAGGAGTCAGCTACCCATGGCTCATAAAATATCCTGCTGACAGTGTGTTCATACTAGTTCCAGTAGGAGTTAGAATAAAACTGCATTAACAGTGTTTTCTTTTTCGACACAAAAGGCTTGTAGACAGGATGCAGGTATTTGCAAAATGCCAGCCGGTTCTTTACCTTTCTCCCCAGAGAGAGGCTTAATTGTAAGTAGTGAGCTGATTCTCTGAAGCTACAATAGCAATACTGAACAAATGTAGCTTTACCCTAATAAGACCCGAATGTGTACAGGTCAAACTGAAAGAGGCAAAAATTCTGTTAGCTTGCCATTATAGTTAATCCCCATTCAGGTCTTAAGCAAGATTTAGCTCACTTATGCAATTACAGAAGAAGATCCTAAGGTTTAAAGTTATCAGATTGTTAACACCCTCTAGGGCCATCTGAGATAAATTAATGCCTTGTTGTATGTCTGGGTTACCTGTTTCTGTATAATACTGTCAGGGTTGTGACTTTTGCTAAGTTGGATAATACTGTCTATAATCTACCAGTACAGTCTATAACATGCCTCTTTGGTTTAATACAAGAGGATACCTTACCTGGGGTCCAGTGGGGCTTCTAGTGCTGCTGGGCAGGTGTGTGTGCAGGCAGGGGTGAATGGACAGAGAAGGCAGCAAGGGAGCCCTGGTCTTCAAGCTCAGCTCCCTCACCCGCCACTTAGTGATGCCGGGAACCGGACTGACGTCATA